TTAGTTCACGAGATTCAGAGCGGGAATCCTTGATTCGCAGTGCCATCTCTTAGCAGCTAAGTTACTCTAGTGCAAATGAACCACGGGCATTGACAGACACAGCACACTCTGGGCACAAAGGACTCTGTACAAAATTTGAAGAATAAACAATGGAAGACCCATAATGCATTGGTTCCTCTTTGGAAGCGAGACCAAGTCTTTTAGAACTCCAATATCCAGGGAGGGTCACAAATCTGGAGACTTTTGGGGGGAACAAGCATTCTTACAGTGGAGCTCACCGGTGGCGGCGTCAGCTCAGGCGGCGGCTGGCGACGTGCGGCTGTCCGGCGAGCGGCGTGCGCTGCGCTCTTGAGGTCCGGCTTGGCTGCGCGGCTTAGGGTCGTTGTTTAGGAGGGCGATCATCCCACCTTCGTCGCCACTGTTATGTAGTGGGTGGTCGCCCGAACAAACGATAGACTACGTGGTGGTGCATCGCACGCTTTATTCAGTACACAACAAGAAGGGCCCACAAACGGCCGGCAGGCCAACTATATACAAACCTGGGGACACCCCCCTGGTCACCATTGGTGGGTTTGAATCTCCCGCCATGGTTCCCATTGGTTCCCCAGTGTAGGGCTAGGATCCTAGTCCCCATTGTTGTCCAGGACTGAAGCTCAGGTGTGTGTGCTGACCTCAGGTGGCGGTCAGTGGACACAACAGTGCCACTCATGTTAGTTTTAGCAATGGGCTTAGATCCACCTGAATGCTCCTGTGGATGGCAAGACATCTGGTTGCAGTGTGGGGGCAGTGAGAAAGTTGTGCTTTGTGTTTCTGTCTGCAGAAACATCCAAGCATGGCTCCATCCCCACCCCCACCCCACTCCCGGAATCCTATATTTACTGATTTTTCAACTACGTTTACTGACACACACACTGTTCCAGTCAGAAAGAGATCTAGAGTGATGTCTGGGTGAGCGTCTGCCCTCTCCCCCCTCCCCCATTATTTCTGCAGATGCTGTTGGATCCAAGCCATGGTCTTTTATATGCCTTTGTAACTTTGAGATTTTTGACATGTTCTCTCTGTGGGGTGACCTTAAACTCCTGGCAGGGCTGGGTCATCAGAAACATGTCTCACCAGTGCTCTCATGCTTACACGGGCCCTCTACAGTCCTGTATGTACTTCTAGAATTTTCCCGTAAATTGCTGAACAGCCAGCGGGCCCGGGTTCTTAGGAGACCATGTTCCTCTGCCAGGATCCCCTTGGATCTACTGATATCCCCCACAGATGAAGAAACACAAGCCTAAAATTGTTGAGGTTCATGTGCTCCCTTCTCCTTTCCCGTCTCTCATGTCAAGCTGTGTTGGAAGACTTCCTGGTTCAGGAACCAAAGTGGGCTATTTTATTTCTCTGTGTTACTTATACTCTGCCTTTCTCACTGCAACTCAAGGTGGGGATTGCATAGTGTAACTCTTCTGAATTCTGGTGCTTGCAACAAATAAAAGCTTGCGTTCCCCCCACAGGCTGGATTCTAAACCACAGTTAAAGCTTGGCTTAGAATCCTAGTTTGTAGACAAGAGACGAATATCAGTTTATTAAAGAATATCAGTTGGTACATGTCAACCAACCTTGGTTTAGGGAACCCTTCACATGAACCAGGAAGTCTCCATTATGTGCATAAAGGAAGAAAGGGCAAAGAGAAAGTGTGTGAACCTCCAAGGCCAAGGATTTCAGGCTTGTCAGTGTCATGAACTAACTGTGGTCCATCTGTGGCATCTGAATACATCTGTGTTCCTCTGTATATCATAGTAGATCGGAATAGTGGTTGTAATGCAATGCAAAGAATATAGAATGGTAAAATGAAATGTATTTCTCTGGTCTAATGACAGAGGAGATAGAGCACTGCACCTCAAAGAGTAGGATGCTGTTAGTTACCTCCATGCGCGAGAGAAGACAGAAGGTAACAACAGGATCTCGGTTAATTACTCTAAGCACCCCACAATTAAGAAGGATACAATTACACATTAGTCTCCAATTTAGACATATTTCTTTGCCTCACTGTGTCTCCCACCCCCCGAATTGAATCCAAACAAATTATGACCGTACAAATTAAGCTTGTTATTCCTGTTTTGTTCTCACATCTGTTAAAACATCTTCATTATGTTGTATGCTAATTTGCTGTTCACCCTCTACCTACATGTATGGACTGATAACTTCCATTTCAATGTGTCACACAAAAGCTCACCACTTGAATAAACCGTTGCTGGTCTTAAAGGTGCCACTGGACTCAAACTTTGTTCTAGAAGTAAATCCAGTAAGAGTATCTCTTATGCATCTTGGGCTTCAAAGCCCATTACAGATTTAACATTAATGGCTCATGGAGTAGAGAGGTGGGGATGGAAGAAGAGTTGAGAAACAAAAGCAGTTGCTTTGTGATCCAGATAAGAGGTTAAGTAATACCAGCTTTAATATATCTACTTGTTGCATCTCGGGCTGCAAGAACCAGAAACCAAACTGGGGCTGTGTTGAAAGGAGCAGGCCTGATTCTCTGTGGTGGTGGAAAGAGCCGTCAAGTCACAGATGACTTATGGCGACCCTGTGGGGTTTTCAAGGCAAGAAATGGTCAGAGGTGGTTAGCTACTGCCTGCCTCTGTGTACCCTGGTATTCCTTGGTGGTCTCCCATCCAAATACTAGCCAGGGCCAACCCTGCTTAGCTTCCGAGATCTGACGAGTTGAGGCTAGCCTGAGCTGTCTGTTCCCACTGAATTCTTAGAGGCAAGAGACAAGCTGCAGTCTTGGACATGTTTTCCCTTCCTCGAAAGCTAGTCAAATCTGACTCTAGGGGGTGGTGCTCGTCTCCAAGCCTTCCCACCGAAGTGGTACCTATTTATCTACTTGCAGTTTCTTGCTTTCGAACTGCTAGGCTGACAGGAGCTGGGGCCAGAGACGGGAGCTCACTCTGTCACGCGGCACTAGGGTCTCGAACTGCCGAGCTACAGATCTTCCAGTCTGCAACTCAGTGTCTTAACCCCTGAGCCACCGAGGCCCATGTTTTAGAAGGGGCTAAAATTGCTCTGTGAATCATCATGGTGACCTTGAGTGTGCCTATCTGCCCTAAGATCAATTTATTTCTACTAAATCTAATTGAATAGGAATAAAATATTTTTATTGGGGGAATTATGATGAGGTTAAATTAAAATCTGTCCTTCATTTATGCAGAATTCACAGCTATGCACTGTACGGGGCTAAAATCTTTCCCTGCTCACTCGCTCTGCCTATCATAATGACAGGCAGTTTGTCAGCTAGCATACTATAGAGCACTGATCAACAGGATTGCAACCTATTGGCTCATTGCAATATTTTGTTCATCCCCGTTTTTTTAAGTAGCATTGTCAAGTTTTGAACACTTTGCCAGAATCTGGCATGTTGGGAGAATGTATTGTCATCTGATGCCTTAGGGAAATGTATAAAACAGGAGATTTCTGGAAATCAGCCCTGGATTCTGTGGCATGCTTGGTCTTCAGTCCACTGTTAGTGGCAGCTTTAGTAGAACAAAACAGTTGTGCTGCCTGCAAGATGAGCACTCATCGCAAGCACTCATGCCTATTTTTGCTGCTTACCTCCTCCTACAGTGATAAATGTGAGGTCCTTCCAGCATAGGGTTGGCTCGGGCACTTCCTGAGCTGAGCCCTTCGTTTTCCATTCGTAGTGCGGCTGTCTTCTGCTGTCTTGGAAAACACTTTGTGTTTTCTCACTGCTCATTGGTTCCATTTTTCTTCTTCTGGGGGAAAGGAGATCAGGGTACCCATGGCTATCCACTGCCTGGACAAATTGCTTTGATTTGAGTCCATAACTCGGATAATTGAAAATTGTACGGATGGTAGAGGCTTTCTAGCTTCTCCGAATGCAAGCCTGTTTGTGTGGAGGTGCCACAGCTCATGGGCAGGGTCCTTCTTTGCAGGTATGAAATGCCAGGTTCAGTCACGACCATCTTTGTCACAAGAATGTCAAATAGCAGCATTGGGAGAAAGATCCACCTGAGATGCTGGGGAACCACTGCCAGTCAGAGTAGATGGCACTGGGCTAGAAAAGCTACCAGTAGCTTCTTGCTCTAGGGATATAAAACATTAAACAGTAAGGATTTGTTTACCATTTATGTGCTGCTGTGAATGTTTACATGTTTTAACAAGGCTAGCGAAGAGTTACCTGTCCATTCCAGGATCATCTGTGCCTGCAACACGTGTGTTTTCCTGACAAGGGAGCACTTAAACATGTTAATTCCGAGTGATGCATGGAGAGATTTTATGGCGGTAATTAATTTATAACTGGAGCTTTTAATCTGTTTTTACCCTGCTTCTAAACGGCCTGTGAGCTGTAATAAAAACTGACACCTTAATGTTTTTGTAGCAAAAATCAGCAGCGGATCTGGTAACAAATGGCTAGACAGTGAGCTTGTTAATGCTTAAATGATACAATTTTGAATATTCTAAAGGGTTGCTTTTTTAAAAAAGGAAGATTACATCGCTACCCTGTTCCATCCTGGCAAGTCTTTGCAGGGTACTGGGTCGTTCTTTGTGGGGCTGTTTGCAGCAATCTGCAGGGAACCAAGATCATTGGCAATGGGGTCATATGCATAGTTTTGGTGGCTGTTTCTCCTTTGAAGGACTTTGTCATTGTAGACCAGGGGTTAGCCAAACTTGCTTAACGTAAGAGCCACACAGAATAAACGTCAGATGTTTGAGAGCTGCAAGACATGAACATTACACTTTTCCTGGGAAATATGCGAATTTGCTTTTTATTAACATTAAGTGAGACTGCCAGAAATAATAACAAAAGCGGTAAAAGCAGATATTGATAATGATACTTATTTGTCCAATGATAATTTGTTTGCTAATGTAATGATATTTAGCTTCCCCAGCCGCCCTGCCGGGAGCCGCACAATATGTGTGAAAGAGCCGCATGTGGCTCCTGAGCCACAGTTTGGCCAGCCCTGTTGTAGACTAACCTCTTTTGTTTCCTGTAGATTGCTGCAGCAACTGGCCACACTGTGATACTGGTGGACCAAACAGATGAAATATTAAATAAATCCAAGAAAGGAATTCAGGAGAGTCTGAAAAAGCTGGCAAAGAAGAAGTTTGCAGACAAACCCGAGGTGACATCTTAGTATTTATATGGTCGTTAAATGTGACAAACCTATTCTGTGTTCCTTTTGATCTCCACTGTTTAGACAGACAAGTACAGCAGTGTCAAATTAATAAATATTCTTAGCAGATCCCTTTTGAGAAGCTGCCACGAATTACAGAATGACACACAGTCTCTCCATGCCTGTCAAAGGCAGCCTGCAAGCCTAAGCAGACTTCCGTGTGTAACTCACCTTTCTGGAGTTATTTATTTATTGACTTACTTCATACCCCACCTTTCTCCCCCGTGGAGGACCCAAAGTGGCCTACCTTGTTCTCCTCTCCTCCATTTTATCCTCGCAACAGCCCTGTGAGGGTAGGTTCGGCTGAAAGCCAGTGGCTTGCCCAAGATCACTCGGTGAGCTTCCGTGGCAGCGTGGGAATTCACACCTGGATCTCACAGGTCCTAATCTGGCACTCTAACCACTGCATCACACTGGCTCTCTCTGTCAAAGGCAGCCTGCAACCATAAGCAGACTTCCATTTGTAATTCACCTTTCTGGGCATTCTTCACGTGTTCGAAAGGGGAGCAGTAAGCAGGGAAACCACCCTGCAAGCAATGCTCCCCCAAGAGCCAGTTTGGTGTAGTGGTTAAGGGTTACCAGACTCTAATCTGGGAGAACCGGGTATATGATTCCCCACTCCTCCACTTCCACCTGCTGGATGACCTTGGGCAAGTCATAGTTCTGGCACAGCTGTTCTTGAAAAAGAGTGGTTTCTGTCAGAGCTCTCTCAGCCCCACCTACCTCACAGGGTGTCTGTTGTGGGGAGGGGAAGGGAAAGGAGTTTGTAAGCTGCTCTGAGACTCCTTTGGGTGGTGAAAGGCGGGGTATAAATCCAATCTCTTCTCTTCTTCTCTTCTCTAAGCTGTGGAGTCTTGTGAGCAAAAATTCTACTTTGTGAGCTACTAGCATTAAAGTTGTGAGCGAGCAATTTGGCTACTGCATAAATTAGTTTCCTCTGGAGCCCTCCTTCCTGAGCTGAGACAAAAATGTGTGAGGCGGAGGTTAAAAAACTGTGAGCTCACACTAACTCAGCTTAGAGGGAACACTGCCCACAAGCACTCTGCACACAGTGATTCTTGCTGAATTGGCTCCACATATGCAGTGAGGGTAATGGAGGAGTATATTGGTCTACAACTGGAAGGACCAAGGTTTAAATTTCCATTGGCCATTCAGCTTGCTGGGTGATTTCTGGCTCATGCTTTCTCTCAATCTAAAATTCCTTGCAAGGTTGTTCTAAGGATGAGATGGAAGGAGGAGTACCTATGTACTGAGAGGCCCCAAAAATAGTGTCTAGGCTTTGTTGCTAGCTTTTGTTTTCTACTAGTCAGCTTTAATGCCCAATCCCGCTACAGTATTGATTGTAACAATGAGGTAACTCCTAGAATGACCAGACCTTATACTAACTTTGTTAATCATTAACAAAAATTATTTAATTTTTAGTTAGTGTAAACAGGAATTCAGACTTAGACACAGTTGCACATTTCTAGTTAGGAGTAGTATCCCTTGCCCTCCTGGTCCAAATGGAAGAATTTCAGTCTATATAAAAACAGGGGAAATTAACTATTTGAAGGGCCAGCACAATGCTTAGTTTAAATGCCTGTCCAAATTAATTTTACTACAAAAGTGTGGAATAATGATACATTTTCCAAGAACGGGAGGACTGTAGCACACTAAAGGCTACTGCAGTTTGGGTGGCAAGAAGTCACAGAACACAGCCCACTTTTTCACATACAATTTTTGCACTGTAGGGGAAGGTCAATCATTCAGTGGTTAGAGCGCATGCCTTGCATCCAAAAGAATTTTAAGTTCAGGTGCTGGCAGGTAAGAGCATCACGGGAAGCAGGACTGGGGATGATGCATGGTTAAGATGGCAAAATTCACAGGCAGCAGAGTGGGCAATGGAAGGCTATATGGACTGTTGGACTAGGTATAAGGTGAACTTATATGGTCATGGTAATAAGCCCTATTAAACCCAGTGGGACTTATTTCTGAATAAATGGGCATAGGGTCAAATGGCTCATCACTGGAAACTCCCTAAAAATTTAGTAGGAAAAAAAATTAGTAGAAAATCAGTGCAAAATATAATTTTGGGGGAAAAAGCTTAGAAGAAAGATCTCTGCCCTGGCCTACTAGATAGCACAATAGATGGGACATAATGTGGTGCTTTTCGTAGTGGTGTGGGATGGGAACTACTGGGATTGTTGGCAGTTGTTGGGACTCAAAGAAATAAATCAGTGTGGCTCTGTCTGGAACTGGTTAAGGGCACCCACCATCTGTAGCATTGTATATGCTGAACATACAGAAATCATTTATCCAAACCACAGATGCCTTGCAGAATACCCACTGTTTCAGTATCCTTGCAAAATACCCACATTGGTTTTGTGCCTGCAGTACACCCAGATTTTAATCATTCCATTCACATGGAAGATCAAGCCAGTTCAATAAGGATATAGCCATTCAGAGAGAGACTACCTCCTGCGGCTGTACCCCCACCTCCCATACCTGTTTTAGATTCCCTTCCCCTTCTTCCCTTCCTGCCTCCTGATGCTGCATGCCCTGAACTGCTCAGTGCTACCATTCTCCCTCCAGCTTCCTGCAGGGCTGAGGTAATAACTCACCCCTGATTCTGTAAAATGAGAGTTCCTCTTGTTTCTGTTTTCGTGTCTTCTGCTGGGTTGTTCCTGGGTTGGGCTAAGCAGGGGGCAGCCTCCCTTTCTTCAGACCCTCATGCATGCATGCATTCATGGACGGGAAGTGCAGCCATCTGCTCCTACGGTCAGGGCCCTGCCCTGTTCAGAGGCCACAGGCGAGCCTCATTTTGCAGTCAATCCTAATTCTATGATTTCAGTCACCAAGATGAGAACCCTCCTTGCCCCTTGTATGAGGCCAGATGACTTTGTAGAATACTGCATGTATGCCCCCTGTAGCTTCTTGTAGAAAGAATGTGATAAAAATGTTAAATTTTGGAGCAGTTATATGCACAGTGCTGTATACCAAAACACCAGTTGGATGGGGAGGCGATGAGGCTGCATCCCACTGCTCTGTCTGTTTCACAGGTGTGCACGTGGAGAATCTTGCATGCCACAAGATCTCTGAACTGGGGCCTTTTTTTGCTGGAGGTGGGGGTGAACAATACTGTTGGTGTCTTCCATGCTTAGTGGTTGCTTTTTAAAAAGAAATCATTAGTAAAATTAATAAAACTGTTCTTTGTTCGAGCCAGTTATAGTTGGAATAGGAATATTCCTGTGAAACTAAATGAATTGGTCTTTTTTTTTTTAATCTTCACTTGTTCAGGAAGGCACTCAGTACATTGAGAAGGTCTTAAAGAACCTGACGACAAGCACAGATCCAGTCTCTGTCGTACACAGCACCGACCTTGTTGTGGAGGCCATTGTGGAAAACGTAGCCGTGAAAAATGAGCTTTTCAAGACGCTGGATAAGTTTGCACCTGAGTACGTTCTTAAAATCACTTGAAATGAATGCAAAATCCAACTGCCGTTGCCTGTTAGCTTGCTTTGCAGTATGCGCCTATGTATTTGAGGGGAGGGGCAGTAAGAAGACAGACTAATTCCTAGCCAGTTTGGTGTAGTGCTTAGGCGTGCAAACTGTAATCTGGGAGAACCAGGTTTGATTCTCCACTCCTCCACATGCAGCTGCTGTTTTTACCTTGGGTCAGTCACAGTTCTCTCAGAGCTGTTCCTGAAAGAGCAGTTCTCAAAAGAGCTCTCTCAGCTCCACCCACCTCACAGGGTGTCTGTTGTGGGGAGGGGAAGGGAAAGGGATTGTAAGCCACTCTGAGACTCCTTCGGGTAGTAAAGGATGGGGCATAAATCCAATCTTCCTCCTCCTCTTCTCCTATCCCGAGAAGTCTTATGGCACTTTAAAGAATAAGTAACACATTTTTATTCCAGCATGGGTTTTACAGATTAGAGCTCACTTTGTCATGGGTTCTAGTGTGTGGAAGTTTATTCAGGAATAAAACTACATTGCAAGACTCCTAGATTCCCCCCCCCCCAAAAAAAAACACAACGGTCATGCTTTCATTCTAATCATTATGTGATTAAATTAGCATTTGAAGATCACCTTGTCCTCTGTTCTCTAGGGAAGTCTGAAACTGAGTGAAGGCATTAACTTCTGAGAGAGTGAAAGTAAAGCAATGCTCTGGTATCTTGCTTGTGAGCAAAGATTAAAAGATTCCAGAGAACCGCCACTGATGAATTATTTAAGTGAAGTCCCACCTATGTTGTACTGAAAAGGTTCAATATTCATTGCTACCTTAGGATCTGAAGTCTCATGCTCTTAAATGAGCAGCGTTGGGACACACTCCCTCCCCCACTGGACGAATAGAATAATTAGCAAAATGGCTGCAGCACAGGGAAAAGGGCATATTTGAGACTGTCTGTGCCTATACTTGTATCTGTACTGGACTGAATGCTTGTGTGTCTCCTGGCTACTATGAAGACACCGGCTTGGGGCCTGTGACATTGTTCTCCTCACGCTCCCTCCAACCATTGTGGAAGCTTTTCTCTGCTACTTCTGGCACTCCTGTGCAGTGTTCCGTCTAAACTGAGTTAGTGTGAGCTAGCTCACAGTTTTTTAGCCTCTGGCTCACACATTTTTGTCTCAGCTCAGGAAGGAGGGCTCCAGAGCAAACTCATTTATGCAGTAGCCAAATCCCTCGCTCTCAACTTTAATGCCAGTAGCTCACAAAGTAGAATTTTTACTCACAGGGCTCCATAGCTTAGAGGGAACATTGGGGCTCCCTGAAAAACATTTGTCTTGCACCTGCAAAAGTGTTAGTGGCAGCGGAAGCGAGCACCACGGTGGAAGAAAGCCTCCGCAGCCACTGGAGAGAGGAGCGAGGGGGACACTGTCATAGGATCCAAGCCATAATCTTCTTCCTCCATGGTAGAAAGTGGGCACTGGGCACCAATCGCTTTAGCTTTCACTATGAATCACGGTTTCTGCGGTCTAGCCTTCCCCGATCTCATAAGATAGGCCCACTCTTGCGGGTGCTCAAAGCCCATCTGAATGTAGGGCCTAGACTTGTCACAGTTCCCAGGAAGCGGCTTAGGGACTGAGACCCTGGGAAGTCTATTTATTATTTATTTAATTCATTTATACCCTGCCTTTCCGAATAGAGACCCAAACTGGCTTACATTATTCTCTTCTCCTCTATTTTGTCCTCACAACCACCCTGCAAGGTAGGTTAGGCTGAGAGAGAGAGTGATTGGCCCAAGATCACCCAGTGACTGAGGGGTAGTTGAACCCAGGTCTGCAAAGTCCTAATCAGCCTCCTTAACCATCACATCAGCCTAACTTCCACTTTCCTTACATGTGCCCTGTACATTGATATTTCTTCATTTTGTTTCAAGGACTGAACTAATTTTGGTTCTTTTGCCCCCAAGAGCCAAAATACAAAAGCCCCATTTTTTTTTGTAAAGGGAATGCTCTCCCATTCTAGCTCAGTGAATGGAGCACATGCTTTGGATGAAGGCTCAGTCCTTGGCAGCTCGGATAAAACGATCTTGGGCTGCAGGTATTGGAGAAAGACCAGTCTCTGCATCAGAACCACCGCCAGAACTCAGTGAATGGAGTCCTTGGCAGCTCGGATAAAAGGATCTTGGGCTGCAGGTGTTGGAGAAAGACCAGTCTCTGCATCAGAACCACCGGCAGTCAAAACAGTCAATGCTCATCTTAGGTGGTAGAAACAATCTATTGGAGGTTAACAAGATTGTAAAACTGCAGTTGACTTTCTAGTTTTTATTTGACATAAAAACATGAGATGAGCTTGCTGTAAAACACAGAGGTCCTCCCTTCCATGTCCTGAAGCAAAAGGAGATCTGCTCTTAACTGTGACAATATTATGGCAATAAGGAAAGCAGGCTTTCATTGCTGCCTTTGTGCAGCCTGTTGGCCCTTTTGAAAAGTCTTGAGTCTCTGCTTTATCAATTAATGAAGAGGTTAACCTGAAGTTCTAGTTCAGGTAAATGTTTCAGCTCTCTGTTTATGTGTCTCTGGAGTATGTTCAGGCTTCCTTTTTCACCCAGACTCTCTTCTTTCGGTGTCTCTGAGTCACAGCACTCCTAGGAGCTGTTGAGTGGCAGTAGATTGATGCCTACTGTCTCAGTGCAATCCGATTCAGTTTCTAGGGTTATTAGTTCAGTCGACTTATTTTTTCCTGCCTAAGAGGTGTCCTAGTAGTAATATTTTTCATCTGCTGCTTGTTTGGTAACCCAGTGAGTGATGCTGAAAATGTGTTTGGGGAGGGGGGGGTTCATTAAGGGTGTATGTGAGAGTGATCATTGGATTTTTAAGAAGCCCAAATCTGTCCTTTTAAAAGTAGCTTTTATCTAAAATTTGGCTTCAAACTGTTGAGAAAAATCCAGGGCTGTTTGGCTGGCATGATCATCACAGAAGTCTCACTAGCATCTCTTAACACCCTTTAGTTAACATACAGATTATTTTTATACGTGTGGTGCAACCTTTCATGCACACATCCAGAGAGTGAGCTTCCTGTATATGAAGATGCCCTCAGTTGAAGGTTTTTGTTTTTAACAAAGTATCCTCACTGTGACCACAAACTCCACCCTGTAGTAAAATGTGGAGGTTTGTCCAAATTTAGATTCCGTATTTGTACATGTCAGGTTCCCAGTTAAACACTCTCCACACACGCTATAAAATGTTATAGCTTTTATTGAGAAATGATAACTGTAGATTCAAGAGCTTTTTGTCAGAACTGAAACTAATTGCTGGACACACTCTAGATATAGGAAAAGGCAATAAAGTTTCATCCGCCCAGCTCCCCTCACATCATACTCTAACCCCCTTGCGTAACCATGGCAACCTGAACAGATATGTGTTGCCCTCTAACGTAGGCAAAGCATAGACATCTTCAAGGTCTTCCATCATGAGAAGAACGCATGAGGCTCTCTTCGGGAAAGATTACCCCGGCTACTCCCTAACTTTCACACCACAGTCACTCCCCCCGTAGGAATGCAAGATGACAAGCGAAGGTAAAATACAACTTAGAAAGAGACACAATGGCTAAGCAAGAGATAAACAGGCCAGAAAGACCAAGTGAGACCTGAGCTTGACAGGAATGCATTCTATAAGGGCTTCAATTAGTGGGGTTTTAAATAGCTTCCAAGCATTTTTGATGAGGCGAGCAGCACGAACATGCTTGGATGCCACCCACTCCTGGTACTCGGGCCCAAAGTCCTTCCACTTGATTAGGTAGAACAATTGGCCCCACTTGATTTTACTATCCAGGATTGTCTCTACGACTTGGTGGGGATTGCTGTCGATCAGGAGGGGGGGAGGAGCTGGAGTCCAAGGTGAGGGTCCTGGGTCTTTTTTCACTAGGCTGCAGTGAAAAACAGGATGCACATGACACAAATTTTTAGGTAAGTCAACTTCAACAGTCACCTTATTGATCACATGAGTCACCTTATAGGGTCCAGTTTCCTCCCAGGCTGAATCCCTTTCAAGTGTTTGGTAGAAATATACCAGAGTCCCCAGACTGTAACTCCCATTCAGGGCCATGGGACTTGTCAGCATGTTTTTTATAATCTTTTGCCTTGTTCAAAGTCTTTTGGAGCACCTCCCACCCTTTCATCACATTGGCCTACCAGTATTGGGCATCCCCTTGCTGAGAGTCGGGGGAGTCCAGGGTGGGTAAGGGCCCTCCGGCTCGGTAGGACTCAATGAGGACCTCCTCCAGCCAGCCCTGGAGATTGGCCACCATCGCCTTGAACTCATCAGAGTACTTTTGCACCGACCGGGTGCCTTGGCGCAGCCCTCGCAGCCAGATCCGGGCTTTCTCAAGTTCAAGCGGGTCCTCGAACTGGTGCCTCAAGGCTTGCATAAAGGCATCAACATCTCTCAGCTCTGGGGCGGCTACGTTGTAGAGCCCCACAAACCAGTCAGCCGCTCAGTCGTCTCAAAGCTGCGAGCGAGTGTAATCCACGCGTTGTTCATCCGACAAAAAGGTATGGCCCCACTCATTCAACATGGTACACACCTGGATCCCCTGAGAGTCGGGGGAGTCCAGGGTGGGTAAGGGCCCTCCGGCTCGGTAGGACTCAATGAGGACCTCCTCCAGCCAGCCCTGGAGATTGGCCACCATCGCCTTGAACTCATCAGAGTACTTTTGCACCGACCGGGTGCCTTGGCGCAGCCCTCGCAGCCAGATCCGGGCTTTCTCAAGTTCAAGCGGGTCCTCGAACTGGTGCCTCAAGGCTTGCATAAAGGCATCAACATCTCTCAGCTCTGGGGCGGCTACGTTGTAGAGCCCCACAAACCAGTCAGCCGCTCAGTCGTCTCAAAGCTGCGAGCGAGTGTAATCCACGCGTTGTTCATCCGACAAAAAGGTATGGCCCCACTCATTCAACATGGTACACACCTGGATCCCAAAGAATCATGCCTTCTCTGGGGAGCTGTCGAATGTTGCTTCTAGTGCATCATGAGGTTGCCAACGGTCGGGCGTCTCCCCACATCTGGGTATTCTTGCCCCCTCGAGTACCTTGGCAGTCTCTTGCTCCACCAGCTCATGTATCACTTGGGGCAGTTACTCATTTAACTGTTGCAGGATCTCTTTCAATCGCCTCTCCTCCTTCCGTAAGTTGGTGGGGCTGAAAGAGACTCACCTTCTCGGAGGGGCCACGACCCGCCTTGGGGTTTCAGGCAGCTCAGGCACTAATGCAGGGGCTCCTCCTCGGGTCCCCTTTCTTCTGCCTCCTCACCAGACCCCGACCCGCCTGGCTTGTCCCAGCGATCAGGGGTTTGTGGAAGGGTTGACTGAGCCTCTCCCTCCATGTCATCTCCACCAGCATTAAGCCCCGACCTGGCCGGATCATCCCAGATCGGGGCTGTCCTGTCTCTTGGGGAATTGGGAGAGGGCGTGCGTTTTCGGGCAGGTGCCCGTAGACTTGCCACTCTTTGTCTTCTCGGGGTCACACACTGGTTGCTCGAGTTCAGACCCGGTGCCAGCCCCAATATCTCTGTCACCTCCAGTTCTAGTAATTGGGTCAGGCCCATAAATATAGTGGGGCATCTCAGGTCCCAGCCCCCTGACTTACTGCCAAGCCTCCCCGACTTCCCATCCAGCCCAGGCGCTCCTTTGAGGGGGTGCATAAGTGTGTGCGGGGTGCCTCCCGACTTATTTAAAGGCCCCCTGAATTAAAAAATCCTGGCTATGGGCCTGAATTGGGTTAGATCCAAACTTGCACAAGCAGAAGAAGTTTGAGGAAGTGAACCTTCCCTGCTTCCCTGACGTCCCCTTAAGCTTCTACTGAGAGACTGGATACCTTCTGAAACAAAATGCAACAAAGTAAGGCGGGGGGGGGATTTCAGGAAGAAGGGCAGTCGGGTGGAGTTACTTTCCCTCATAATGCTGTGTTTTGAGAGGACAAAAAGGGGGATTTTTTTTTCTTACAGAGAGTCCTACATGGATTACAAGGGTCTCTCTGTTGGTTTAATCATTTTAAATCGTAAAGTAGCCTTTCCTGCCTCAAGATGTATCTAACACCCATTGTATATTGTCTCCCCACAGACACACGATATTTGCTAGTAACACTTCATCCTTGCCCATTACAGAGATGGCCAACGCTACTACTAGGCAGGACCGTTTTGGGGGCCTACACTTCTTCAATCCCGTGCCTTTGATGAAGCTTGTTGAGGTAAGGGGTCTTCTCAAATATTCTATGGAAAAAAATATCAGTTGAGAAATATACATCGCTATTGTTGTGGTGTTCAAGCTTTTGGGGGAGGTGGCTTTTAGTTGCTAGTCTGGTCCAGCAGCCTGTACATGGGGCCCCAGGAACACGAAAACGGCTTTATTAAGAGCGTGGTTGAATGAAGATGGACAGTGCTTAAGTAGGATGGGAGCCACGGCCCTTCTCACTTCTCCTCATTTATTTATTTTATTTACTTCATTTATATCTGGCCTTTCTCCACAATGAAGAGCCAAAATGGCTTCCATTGTTCTCTTCTCCTCCGTGTTAACCTTGTAACAAACCTATGTGGGCAGGTTAGGCTGAGAGTGTGTGACTGGCCCAAGTCCACCCAGCAAGCTTCCATGGCTGAGCGGGCATTCAAAACTAGATCTCCCACTTCCTAGGTGGACTCTTTACCTACTACACTGTGCCAGTTCTCATACATCCCACTTGTGGTCCTAAAAGTCTGTTGTGGAGGCAAGAGGTTAAAAGCACACTGTAGACAGCTAGAAAACTGAACCACAGCGCAGGTAGAGGCTGTACTTCTTGCACATGTCCTCCCGCCACTGACTCTTGTCATAGTCCAGGCGACATAGCCACCCAGAGCCAAATAATCTCAGATGCACTTTCTGCTTCATCTCATCTTAAAAGCTGAAATACCTACTTAATTGTAATGCAATACGTATTCAGCTAAAACCAGAGTATGTGTGATTAGAATTTGCAACAGAACAACAAGAATCACAGTCCAAATAGCTACAAGCACAAAAAAGATGGTGAAGAATAAATGCTAATAAAGTTATACAACTGTATTCATGTGTATTGTAATTCTTATGTGGCAATATAATACTGACATACAACCAAATGAATGATATCAGCATACAAAATACATCATTCCAAACTATAAAGACGGTCCAGAAAAGATCCAGCAATTCACATGGAGAACGCAACACATCCAATAGGTCTAGAATCCTCACGAAGATTCCAGATAAGTCCTTTCCTTTGTTTCAGATATCTTCTTCAGAGATGGACTACTGTTTCCTCAGGAATGGATATTATTATATTAATTCATTTAAGTTCTCCAATATCCGCTTTAAAACACCATCAGTGTTCAAGATAACTAAGGAAAGACTTCAAAGTGGGCTACCAACCACACTTTCAAAAAGAATCCAATCTAAATCGTTTCAAAGATGGTATGACCTATTGGATGTCTTGCATTTTCAACGTGAATTGCTGGATCTTATTGGGACTTTTTCTCTGTGTGTGCTTGTAATTAGAATTGGAAAGGCATCCCATGCAATAATATTGATGCAACTGAAAGGTGCAAACTATACCAGCTGCTGGCAGCATGTGGACAGGATGCACCCCGCAGAAGGCTTGCCTTAGCAGTGGGGGGGTGGGTCTCCCTGCTGCTCCCTTAGATAAAGAGTGGAGGCATCAGCGAGTTAGCTTTCTTAGCTAGCTTTACACTGGCAAGGCTAGAAAATGGCTGATGCTGGATGGGAGGAGAAAAGTTAGGATGGCCAAAGGAGAAAAGGGGCAGGTGGAATCATTCCCCCCCCACTGCCCAGAGCGCGTCTCCAGGCCCCACCGGGAGGTTGGCACCTGTGCCAACTGAAAGGTGCAAACTATACCAGCTGCTGGCAGCATGTGGACAGGATGCACCCCGCAGAAGGCTTGCCTTAGCAGTGGGGGGGTGGGTCTCCCTGCTGCTCCCTTAGATAAAGAGTGGAGGCATCAGCGAGTTAGCTTTCTTAGCTAGCTTTACACTGGCAAGGCTAGAAAATGGCTGATGCTGGATGGGAGGAGAAAAGTTAGGATGGCCAAAGGAGAAAAGGGGCAGGTGGAATCACATGTAGGACTGCTGTTCAGCCGTGCAAGCCTTGCTCATTGTTTCTAGATCTCTTGCAGACTAGAGATGTAGAAGAATTGAGGTGTAGGTTGCAGGACCCTTTGAATTGCTATGGTAATTTGGGGAGGGGGTAATTTTTGCCTCCCTCTCTGAAGTGTTAATTGAATCAGGGGGAAAAAATATTATGGGCTCTCACTGATGTTATGGGAGCATTACTAATGCTGCCCGCTATCATTGTGTCCCAGCTTTCTATGAGATTACCACTGGAAATTAATGCTCTGTGTATCATAGCTGAGAGCCAGTTTGGCGTAGTGGTTAGAAGCACCAACTCTAATCTGGGAGAATCCCCATTTCTCCACATGCAGCTGCTGGTGTGACCTTGGGTCAGTCATAAGTTCATACAGACCTGTTCTCTCGAGGGCAGTTCTCGAGAGAGCTCTCTCAGCCCCACCTACCTCACAGGGTGTCTGTTGTGGGGAGGGGAAGGGATTGTAAGCCACTCTGAGATTCCTTCAGGTAGTGAAGGGCAGAGTATAGATCCAATCTCCTCCTCCTCCTCCTCCTTCTCCCGTAGATTTCCCCTCATCAAGTCATAGCTGACTTATGGCAACCCCGTAGGGTTTTCAAGGCAAGAGACATTCAGAGGTGGTTTGCCATTGCCTGCCTTCCGTATCATGACCCTGGTAATCCTTGGAGGCCTCCCATCCAAATTCTAGCCAGGGCTGACCCTGCCTAGCTTCTGAGATCTGACGAGATCGGGCTAGCCTGGGCTATCCAGGACAGTGCGATGTTGTTCATACCCTTGGTTTGAAAGGAAAATAAGGATTCCTTAGGTTGAATCCATCCAGCTTTCCTGACCAACCTCTCCAGATTCCTCACCTTACTACACCCCCCACTCATGTGACTTTTGTCCATGCAGGTCCCCTGATCCCCAGCGTAGCCTTTTTGGTGGTCAAATGGAACCTCCTCCTCACTATGTCCCCAGTGGTTGGATTCAACCCCCAGTGGTTGGATTCAAAGCTGGTTGGATTCAACCCCCAGTCTGAGGAACGAATGACGTATGAGTGACTGTTTTAATTGGGGTATCGCAAAGTGGTTAGTTTTTGGAAGACTGCTTCCTATTGACACAAGTGGACAACCCACTCATTGAGACCAAACTGTGACTTTTTTGCTAGGTTGTCAAGGCACCAATGACCAGCCAGAAGACTTTCGAATCTCTCGTGGATTTTACGAGAGCACTGGGGAAAACCCCTGTGTCTTGCAAGGTAAGTAAATCTTAAGTTGAGCTGTGAGCAGCTAAAGAGATTCATTTAAAAATGTTTTAGTGTACATTACGGATTTTCTTCTCTGACCTATAAGAGGGTATCATTTTGTTTGTTTTTATTTTTATTTATTTATTTATTTTATTTCTATCCCGCCCTCCCAAACGCTCAGGGCAGTTCACAGGCGGCAAAGCCAGAATATAAAATATAATAAGACATACAGTAAAATACACGTTTAAAACCACCATTCAAAGGCAACAGCTTGCTAGGTAGTGAATGAAATGAAATCTCTTTGCAAGTAGCAGCACATTCTTTTCCCATTCTGGGAGCACACAGGTATATGTTTGTTTGTTTTATTTAGAACATTTTTATGCCACCTTTCCACCCGACCAGGGCCCCCAAGGCACTGCACATGAAACATTGAACAATTAAAATCAGCATTTAAAATTATAAAATAATTAAATAAAAACGCACACACAGACATCACTCGAACCAGGGAGGACGGCCAGTAACAGTTATGGGGGGGTACGTCAAACAAGACAAAAAAGGTCTTCACCCACTGACAGAAGACACCTCTCTTTGCAAGTAGCAGCACATTCTTTTCCCATTCTGGGAGCACACAGGTATATGTTTGTTTGTTTTATTTAGAACATTTTTATGCCACCTTTCCACCCGACCAGGGCCCCCAAGGCACTGCACATGAAACATTGAACAATTAAAATCAGCATTTAAAATTATAAAATAATTAAATAAAAACGCACACACAGACATCACTCGAACCAGGGAGGACGGCCAGTAACAGTTATGGGGGGGTACGTCAAACAAGACAAAAAAGGTCTTCACCCACTGACAGAAGACACCGATAGAGGGAGACAGATGAATCCCCTGGGAGATGGCGTTCCGGAGTGCTGGTGCCACAATCAAGAAGGCCCTTTCTTGGGTTGCTACCCATCTAGCTTCAGGTGATGGGAGCAACTGAAGCAGGGCCTCCAAGGGTGACTGGAGCATGTGCAGGAAGGTTCATAGGGAAGAAGATGGTCCTTAAGGTATGTTGCTCCCAAGTTGTACAAGGCTTTAAAGATCGATACCAGCACCTTGAATTGAGCCTGGAAGTAAATTGGAAGCAAGGACAGATTGAGCAAGACTGGAGTGGTATGGTCCCTATGACCCACTTCAGTCAACACTCTGGCCACAGCAATGTGTGTTCTAGCCAGTCTTCAAGAGCAGTCCCACATAGAGCGCACATTGCAGTAATCTAACAGATGCTACCTGAGCATGCATCACAGTGGCAAGATCTTTTCTGCCCAGGAAGGGCCGCAGCTTGCTCACCAGCCAAAGCTGGTGAAAGGTCTCCCTGACCTAGGTCCAGCAGCACCCCCAAGCTATGAACCTTCTCTTTTAGGGTGAATGCAACCCTATCCCCAACATGGAATAATCCATTTCCTGTTTCAGACCTTCGCCTACCAGTAGCGCCTTTGTTTTGTCAGGATTAAGCTTTAGCTTGTTAACCCTCATCTATTCCAAAACTACCTCCAGGCAGTTCACAGTTTCCACAGATAAGGCAGCATATCAAATGGTTCTGGTTTCTGCTCCAGCAGGTGTTTTGAGGCTCCTTGCAGCTGTGGCTTGTGCATCCATTTCTTGGTGCACTCTGAAATGTGCAGATGATCACTGTGGCCACCTTCAAAGCACAGAGTGGCACCCCCCAAAAAACAAACAAACACAAACCCTGGATTTTACGACAAGGCTAAAACTGACTTAATTGGTAGGTCAAAACTCTCTCTGAATTTTATGACAAGGCTAAAACTGACTTAATTGGGAGGTCAAAACTCTCTGTGAGGGAAATTTTTGAGTTCTAAAGCAGTAGCAGCGGGTAGCCACAAGGGGGCTTCCCAACAACAATGTTGGAATCTTGGGTGGAAGTGAAGAGTTGTGAGATGTAGGTAGAAGTGTTTTCCTAGTTGCTTATGGCAACAGAGGGCCACTGTTTTGGAAAGAACAAGGCGTGTGGAACCATGCAGCAAACTGAGGGTGAGAAAACTGGAAGGAATGGCAGCAGCACAGATTTCAGTAGGTGGACTGGAACAGTTTTAAAATTTATTTATTAATTTAGAACTTTTGCCCAACCCCTCTTCAGAGCCTTGCTCAGTGTAAAGTTTTCAGATGTCAAGAGAGATGCAGATGAACTGCATGATGCGGTGTTTGCTGGGGAGATGTATCCTAGGGCAGAGATGGCCCCTTAAGAAGGAATGACTGGGATGAAACACTGCAAATGACCCCCTTTGCTCTTGTCCTTCATTCTTCTGTTTGATCAGAGTTGATTGATGACTTCCAGTTTATCACAATCCACGGGTGGGATCCTGCACATCTGATGCAGAAGGCAGCAGGAGAAAGAAAGCGCTTCCCATAGCAGAACAGAGTCCGTGGACTCTAAACTCCACCATGTCCCCTTCTGTCCACATGTGGCTTGCACTCCCACCTCCAGACAGACTGTGAACCAAGATGAGCAAACCAGTTTGCAGTCATGCCTTGAAAGGGAGAGGAAGGCAAAAGCTGTAACTTGCCAGGCTTTGTGCTAAGTGGGAAGTCACTCATTTTCTGCAAGGAAACGGGGTACATTGCCAGCACAAGGTGATGACATGTAGCTCCAGACTGTGGTTTCGATACTGCATCTGTTACCCCATCCCAGAATGCTTCAAGTAGTAGGAAACATTGGCGTGGAAGGGGGTCACTAAATGGAAATTGTGGCTGCTGAAACTCTTCTAATAGCCTAGATTTACATTTTTGCCCTGTTTGAGAACATCATGCAAGCCAAAAAGACACTGGAGGGAGGAAGAATTCTTAGAAAGGAACTGTGGAACTCTGCATTGCGCGGAAAGCCATGATCTTTGACCAGAAGCGCGTCACTCCTCTTGGTGCATCCCTCACTGGGTTTCTCTCTTCCTTGCCCCTGTCCTGGGAATCATATTAGCACTTCTTGATATTCTGATACATCATTGGATTGGGACATGGATCTATTTCTCAGCCTTGTCTCTCTGTTCACAGGACACTCCTGGTTTTGTTGTCAATAGACTCCTTGTGCCTTACCTGATGGAAGCTGTTCGGCTTTTTGAGAGAGGTAAATATGAGATACCGGATAGCTCAGGCTAGCCCGATCTCGTCAGATCTTGGAAGCTAAGCAGGAACGGCCGTGGTTAGTACTTGGATGGGAGACCGTCATAAGTCAGCTGTGTCCTGATGGCCAAAGGTGGGGGGGGGCATTTTGTAGGGTCTTAACAGTGTATTCTGTAGCTTAGTATTTATGTAGGGGGCAGGGAGGAACGGAAGGCATCATGGTATAGCCTAATCTCATCAGATCTGGGGAGGTAAGCAGGGTCGGTACTTGGAAGGGAGACCACCAAGGAAGACTGCACAGAGGAAGGCACGGGCAAACCACCTCAGCTTCTGACTGGCCTTGAAAGCCCCTTGCTGGAGTCACCAGAAGTTGACTGCAACAGGATGGCACTTCATACACACGAGGGTCAGAGGTGGTATTAAACTGCAGTCTGTGGCCATTGTGGACTGGTTCTAGATGACAACATTCAGTAAAATATAAAAGAAAGGAATATTGTTATTCCTCTTTGTGGGTTGAATTGACCTGTCCGGAGGTGATGCTTATGTGCGTGAAAAAAAGACTGGGAGATGCATCTTAGTTAGGGAAAAGCTTTTGCCTGGACCATGCAGCCCAAATCTGCTCTGACCTACTGGTCCCTCATCTGTTGCTGTTCCTTCTCAAGAGCCTTCCCTGTTAGATTTGCAGCGTTGCTCTTTTCTGGCTCCCTGCATTCGGCTGCTTCAACACCAAAGGCTACATTAAAAATAGGACATGAACTGTGCTCCCTTTTCCTGTGCTCTGCTCAGGTGCCATGATCCCACATAGCCACGGTCCAGGAATGTGTTCCTCTGGTTCACTGAAAACATGAAGTGCTGAATGTTTCTTGCCCCAGCTGTTTTGTGGTGGTGTTCAGGAAAGTAGGGAAGTCTTCTCTTCCAGACTTTCAGAGCAAGGTACTCTTTGGGGGGCAGGGGGAGTAGAGTCTCGTCTGCTTTAGAGACAACAAACTCGCTGCGTGAAAAGCAAAAGAGAAACTTACTTCAGGAAACTGTTTAGGCTTAAGCATTTTTCACGGCTACGTGTTATTATGTGTTATTATGGATGTTATTTCAAATGTTTTTAGGGAAAGCAGCTTTCCCTTATAGATGAAAGACTTCCATTATCAGGGACTCTGTAAATCTCTTTTAAATATTTAAAAAAAACTCCCTTTGTAGTTTAAAAAGGGATGTCAGTTTCTGGAAAACAAATTAATCATACTGCTTCTTACCCATCAACAAATAAGGCTAATTACTTCTCAAAGACAGAATAAGAGCAAATTAGAGTGATTTTTTTTAAGCAAATGAGTGGCAATGTAGAAGTTCCTTTTTGTTCTGTCTCAAGCATCACCGTATAAAAGGCCTCAGCTAAACGTTGCCTCCCAGAGCACAGAAAATCTGTAACAATTTTAAATTTACAAGGCAGGAAAACTGGAGGTGACTTTTCTGATGAAATGAATTTTTAATTGGATCTCTGTCTTTTTGGGGAAGGAAGCGTTCTGGTTTCAGCTTTTGTTGTGGCTCTTTAACAACACAAAAGTAAGGGCTTTCAAATATTTGGGGAGAAAACTGTATTAAAATTTAAAAGGTAGGTTGAGTGTAACATAATCGGAGTTTGATTTTTATTTGCTTGTTTATTATCATTGTGCCAAGTAAGGGGAAAGTTTGTGGTTAGATAGGCAAGTTAACTGCAGATGGAAGGGTGGTTTTTTGTTTTTTGTTTTGCTTTTTGAATGACCAAAGCAGGGAGATGCTCTTGTTCAGGGTGTTTCCAACTTCTCGTACGTCAAAGTATTGTTTTCTGTATTGATTCATCTGCCAAGGGAAACCTGAGTATCTGCTGTAGGATCCTGCCCTTGCCAAAGATTTGGGCACTATTAGAGGCACACAGGGCCGGCTTGCCCGCTAGGTGAACTAGGCCTTCGCCTAGAGTGCGAGCCGGCCATTAGGGTGCAGGAGGAGAGGCAGGGACGGCCGCCGGTGCACCTGGCCAACGAGGGAGGCAGTGGTGCCACACAGGCTGCAGGAGGAGGACGTGCGGTGGTGGCGTGGGCAGGGCGTGGCGCTGTAGCTGGCCGGCGGAGGAGCAAGCAAGGGGGTGGAGTTGGTGGGGCCGCCTCTACCTGGGTCACACCGGAGACTCAGGTGGGCTTCCTGGCCGAGTGGCTGGGCCAGATCGAGGGGTGGCTGCAGCGAGGAGCACCCACCGGCTTCGCTGGGATGGTCTCCAGGCCCCGCCGGGAGGTTGGCATCTGCGCTTGCCTAGAGCGCAGGACAACCTCGGGCTGGCCCTGGAGGCACTCACTGAGTTCATATGAGTCACTGTGATTCTGTGAACTTAGGCAGGTCATGAGAGTGAGGGCAGGAAGGGTTGCATCAGTGCTTCGTTCTTGTGGCCCTTTCTTACACGCCCAGGGAAATGCTGATCATCACTTTGGGGTCAGGAAGCAATTGGGGTCACTGGGGGTGTGTGTGGTGGGGAAGGTATTTGTGAATTTCCTGCATTGTGCAGGGGGTTGGACTAGACGACCCTGGAGGTCCCTTCCAACTCTTAGGATTCTGTGATTGACCTAGCCTCTTTGAATTGTGCTAGGTGACACACCATCATCACTTGGGTTGATAGTGATGCCATGTATTTTTCAGGGGGAGATCAGTTGTGAGGGACGAGGTGTCTTTCAGGGGGAACTTGTTTGCCCTTCCTGATCACCACGTTGAATTCAGTAGACCTTTCCATGCTGAGTTCCTGTGTTCTCGGTTAGGGATTTTTGAACTATAATACTGCCATGGACATAACAAGCATGAAATCAGTACAGTGTGGCAGTATCTTCTGGTGGTTTGGAGGTTACATCTTTACCTTGTTTTTCAGCCAAAAATTGGCTTCCAGCAATTTAAAAATTGATGCAAATATAAATTAAAATCTGATTAAAAAGTTGTATTGCAAGGAACTGAGTCTAGGCATGATAGATGTGCCTTCACCTGGCTTCAGTGATAGCAGCTTGAATAAGGGGGGCTCTTGGACAAATTTCAGTGAGTGGACTTTAGCAGCTGTTTGAACATTTAGCCCCAGATGGCTTAGTTGCTTTGTGCTCAGTAGCGTGTGAACCCTGAGCCTGCTTCGGCGGGGAGGGCGAGATATAAATTGAACAAATAAATAAATAAACTCTCAGGTGAACCACCTTTTGCAGTTGAATAGGAATGACTGCTGCCATACTTTCTGTAATCTCCTGATGTAGCTTCCAGGGTTGTGGCCCCATCACTGGTGGCTGGATAGGTACAAGCTGACTACAAGTACCTGTTGACCTACTGGAGCCAGATCTGCTTTGGTTGACTATCTAGCCCCTGTTCAGAAGTACTGGGAAGATTGCATTCCTAGAACAGGTCTGCAGATAAGCAGTTATCCACAGCAAGACATCAGTGGCTGCTATTGTCTTAGACGTTTAGCGCTGTATTGACTCTGCTGTGCAAAGCCCTCTGTAATGATCTGCCATGTTAATTATTGAAAGGGAGAGAATACATGCACAACTATGTTAATCTGGCTGTCGATCTTTGCTCTAGGAGATGCGTCAAAGGAAGATATTGATGTTGCCATGAAGCTGGGAGCAGGCTACCCCATGGGCCCATTTGAACTTTTGGACTATGTTGGCTTGGATACCAGTAAATATATTATAGATGGTATGGCATTTTTCTGTCCTCTTTTCTTTTGTTAAGCCAACTTGCTACCCCTAATGTTGTGCTGATCCTGAGGCTTTCCCCAAGTTCTTGCAAAGGGTTGTTTTGGTTTTGTGTGGTTTGCAGGTAAGCAATGACATTACAAACAAAGGTTTCCTGCAGGATGGAAAGGTCAGGAGGGAATCCAGATGCGCAAGTGGGAAGGGGGAGCATGAGTCCTCCTAACAGAAGGAACCATAGTTCAAGCTTCTATCTGAACTGAATCTTTTACTTTTTAAGGAATTGGCTGTCTTAGGACCCAGTACAGGTTGCAAGGAATTGAAATGTTTACGAGAAGGGGGTGTGCGCTGCTGCCGTTGAGAACGGTCACCTAAAACCTGCGCTCCTCTTACCCCCACATCCTCAGATAAGCCTTTTTAAAATCATTTAAAGTAAAATAACATGGGGGGAAACAACGGTAATCCCATTGGGTTACCAAAAACAATAACAAAGACTGTTCAAACGCCCACAAACACGAGAGAAAACAGAGTCAAAGCCAACGGAGACAGAAACCGCTGAAATGGAGGATGAAAATTCGCTCGCAAGACTGCTAGACTCAGCCTTTCACAAGCAAAACCTACCAGCCTTATTTGAAAAAATGGAAAAGAGAATAAGCAAAAATATGCTCCAAACAGTACAGCTAATAAAAGAGCAGCTTCAAGAAATCCAAACATCTTTAAAAATAACATCGCAAACAGCGGAATAAGCTCTGAAAATGGGAACCATGATAAAATCAGACCTGAGGGACCTACATAAGTCAGAATCACAAACTAAAGATTGTCTGCTGTTAGCTGAAACTCAACTAAAACAATTACATTTAAAATTCAGAGGGATCCCAGAGGGGGTGGAGGAACCCACAAATATGGTAACATTCATATATGAATGGTTAAAAACAACGCTGCGTTCTGACACAGTTAAAGCTCCAGCATAGTAAGGGTATTCAGACTGGGCTCCCTTATAAATCTACGTTGGAGAGTCCCCTCGGGACATATTAGTACAATTTGCAGATTGGGAGACACGCTCAAAAATACAGAAGCAAGAATTAAAGGTTACCTCGTATTTAATGAGATCCACATTTCGGTTTTCCCTGACACTCCACAGGAAGCCTTGGCCATCTGCCACCAACTGAAGCCCATAACTACAAAACCGCAAACATAAGATATAAATGGCTGCTTACAGGAAAATTACAGATAGCATAACAAGGCAAAACATTTCAAGTGACAGATGAAGAATCAGGACTGAGACTACTACAAGCTCTAAAGATCTCAGATGATGTAGAGCAAAGCAAATCACAAAAACGCAAATTACAACTATCAGCAACACTGGGGAAAAAACACTAAAATCCCGATCTGTCCTAATGCATCTCCTGAACTGGAAGATATAGCAGACGCTCCACCCACAAACCAATGAACTCAGAAAAACAATCTGGCTATCCGATTTAAAATCTAAAAAACTGTATCTTTCATGCTCAGACTTTGTCAACAGTCTTTATTATACTAAATATATATGATTAAAATAACGAGGGAGGACGGAGGAGGGGAAAGTGGACTTGGTTGCTTACCAGTGTAGTTCCTAGCGTAAAGGATGCAAGGTCAGCTGTCTATTTCCAGTACGATCCTATTGTTTAGATTTTAACTAAGCAGTAGAGTAATTTATAATCAATCTCATTTTAACCTTTTACTACACATAACAAAGCTTTTTAGGTAACTCTTGAGGAAAACTTGAAAATTAAGGAGGGTGGGAACAGGGGTGATTTTACTGATTCAATTAATTATAGTTACTATACTTAATCCTTGCAGTTATAGTACAAACTATTTACCAGTTAATGAATCTTTTTAATAATTTAGTTAGGAGTATTATAAAAACATATTGAACTTAGATTAAGGAATGAAACAATTTTTTTTAAATATCAATTTTATTGTTATTTTCATAAGGCAGAAATTTCATAATTTTAGACTAATTTAACAAATAATAACCAAAAGCTATTGGTCGAGGACTCAAATACTACATTTTAAGTGCGAAAATACAGATAGAAAACCTCTGATCTGAACTACAAACAAAAAACACTACCAAAAAGTCCAAAACCTGTTGGTTGTATTAAACTATATCAAACTAGTCCTATTAATTCAATATGGCTCCTGTCATGAAAATAAGTTCTGTGAATTTTAGAGGCCTCAACAACGCAGTCAAAAAAGAGAGAATATTACGTAGCAATTCTACTGGCAAAAATCCTCAATGTTATCTTAAGTGCCACAGTTAAAGACCCACTAGGCTGTTATTTGTTCATTAAGGGAACCCTGGAAGGGAAAAAAATAACATTAGCATTGATACATGCCCCAAATAAGACTCAAATCCCCTTCCTAGATGCCACCTTTGCTGAAGTCACACAATTCCAGGATGGAGATCTTATAATAGGAGGCGGTCTAAACTTCATAGCAAATGGTAAATTAGATAGATCATGGTCTACCCCCAACAAGGCACTCAAAGCCTTATCAAACACCAAGCTCACTCAGCTCTTCTCTAAGTATCATTTATGTGACACTTGGAGATTGTTACATCCAGTGGAAAAAAACTATACCTACTTCTCACCCAGGCATAATATATTTACAAGAATGGACTACATTCTTGTCTCTCAATCACTAGTTCCATCAGTCATTTCCGTTGACATTGAATCAAGATACCTAACTGATCATGCCTGGATAGAGGGAAAAGTGGAACTCAACGCAGAAAAAAACAGAATGAACATGGTCATTAGTAGTATTTTATTGGATGTATCTGTGGGAGAAGAAATAGAGAGATTAAGAACTTCTTTACAGACAATGCCTCATCAGATGTATCTTCATCCCTTCTCTGGGACAAAATGAAAGCGGTTATAAGAGGCTTCTTGATTGCTATCACATCTAAATTAAGAAAAGAAACGTATTCGAAAAGAAGTGACAAAATATATCACCTCATTAAAACAGAAACACAAAAAAACAGAAAACAAAAAACCTATCAGAAACTAATTGTGGAATGTAAGATACTAGAAAATTTGGAAACAACACAAATACAGAAAAACTTGATATATCTAAAACAGAAGTTCTGGCAGAAATTCCCCCAAAATGGTATACTGGCTTGGAGAGTTAGAGATACACAGAAAACAACCTTCATCAGCTCTTTGAAAAATAAAGATGGCTCACAGAGATACTCCGCAAATGAAATTGCCAACACATTTGCAGAATGTTACACATCTCTATACAGTACTAAAAACCCTAAACAAGAAGTAATTGACACATATCTGAACTCCATACCGTCGATACCCCACTTAACCCAAGAACATTCTGATTGAATGGAAGCCTCAATCCTTACCTTAAAAGAATTACTGGACACCATCAAACATCTTAAAGCTAATAAGGCAACTGGATTAGACAGACTACCCTCGGAATTCTACAAGACATTTAGCGCTTCCATAGTGGACCATCTTTTAAACACATGCAACGAAGCGCTACAAAAAGGAATCATGCCAGTGTCATGAACTGATTCTGCTATAGTGGTGATACATAAAGATAAAAAAGACCCAACAATTCCATCATCGTACAGACCAATAGCTCTTCTTAATCATGACAACAAGATCTTCACAACAATCCTTGTTAATAGAATAAAATCCTTAATTCCTTGTTATATCAATCCAGATCAAACAGGATTCATCCCAAACTGCCAGCTGACTGATAATGTGCGAAGAACCACTGATATCATCATTCATGGGGGGAAAGCCCAAAAAGAATCCATAATTCTAGCTTTGGACTTCGAAAAAGCATTTGGCTCAGTGGAAGTATCATACATGCTATCATTATTCAGAAAATTGGGTTTCAGGGACAACTTTCTATGGGCGGTACACACCCTATACACTCAAAACAAATCAAAAGTGAGGGTTAATGGAAATAATTCACCCGTCTTCCATTTATCAAGAGGGACAAGACAGGGCTGCCCTCTATCACCTCTAATTTTTGCTCTGGCAATGGAACCCCAGCAGAAAATCTCTGAAAAAATCTAATATTCACCGGAATAAATATTGGAGGACAAGACCGTAAAATAAATCTCTATGCTGATGATCTCACTTTATACATATTGAATCCTCCTCAATCTCTACAAGCAGTACAACAAATCCTGTCAAATTTCGGAACCCTCTCAGGCTTACTCATCAATCCTACCAAATCTGAAATATATCCCATACGTCTTAGCCAGACAACAACAGCAATAATACAAAGAGACTTCCCATATAAATGGATCACAGATGATTGGAGACATTTGGGGGTTCAAATACCACTAAACCTAAAAGATTTATTTAAGTATAATTTTCATCGACTATTCCAAAATATAAAAACCGATCTCAATAACTGGGAGTCTCTACATCCAACTTTATCAGATGGACTCCATGCCATATAATCTGCAAGAATTATTCTGGATAACACCAACCCGCAGACCAACATCTATTAAAAATAATATATTACTGTCAACATCAATCAAAATGTGGGACCAAAGAAAGAAACTCCTACCATCAGGAATATCACAACTAACAACTTTCACAAATCAAGAGTGGTTCCCTCCAGGCATGTACCCGAACACATTTGAAAATTGGATAAATGCAAACTTAAGGCTCCCTAATGATATAGTACAGAAAGTCAAAATTCAAGAAAAAAAATTATTTTGATTGAAAAATAGGCATACAAACCCCTTGGTTTCAACACCTACAGCTTAAAAACCTAGTGGAATATTTATCTGATTTAGGAACATTCCAAAGAGACATGATGAATCTGGAAAAGGTCATTTTGGCTTACCCTAAATCACCTAAAGGCACCCTCTCCAAAATCTACAAAATAATTTTGAAGGAAGACAACCTAAATAAATTAAAATATAAAAATTGTTGGGAAGAAGAGCTAAATTTATGTATGCAAGGTACTCACTGGAACACTATTTGGGTATCACCAGCAAATACGTCTACAATATACAATGTACGTTTACAACTTTTAAAGCTAACATTGAGATGGTACCTTATTCCACATCAGTTACATAAAATAAATCCATCCAATAATCCAACCTGCTGGAAGAAATGTGGCCTAATTGGGACCTACCTTCAGTGCTGGTGAAACTGTCCAGTGATCCTTCAATTCTGGAATGAAGTGATAACACAGATTAATTTAATTACTATACAATCATTTCCTTGCAAACCAGAAATTATGCTTTTGAATTTATGGGATGACTCAATAAAAGAAAATACCAAAGAATTTACCTCAATGCTATTAGCAACTGCTAGACTAACAATAGTGGCGGCCTGGAAGTCTCCTTCGCCACCGACATTATCAGTGTGGCACGATAAACTGTGGGACCAATTCATAATTGCCAAGAGATCAGATTCAATTCAAAGAGCACAAACATCTCTACATCAACCTCCTCTAAATTTGTTCATATGTGGGCTCCAGTTTTAAACTTCATGTCAACATAGGACTTGCTTCCTTCAAATCCAATATATCACAAATGGTTATATCTGTAAAATACTATCAATACAGATCAAATACAGAGAATTTAATGACCCAAGTAATTTATCTTAACAAATTTTAATAGACCTTTCTAGTAATTTTTTTTTAATTCCAACTGTAAGATATAAAAACACTTTGTAAGTTTAGAGGTTAACATGTTAAATTTGTTAGCTTAATCTACTATATGTATGTAATGTTATGTTATTCCATTGTACTGTAAAAAAGAAGTTAAAAAAGATGTTTATGAGAAAACACAGTGGCCTAGATCAGAGAAGTCCTTATCAGTACAATAAAAAAAAAATATTTTGTGTGTCATCTCACTGATAGTTTTCTTGGTCTTTGTGCTGAAGATTACAGGAAAAATGTATGTCTAACCAATATTTCCCCACATTTGTCATTCCACAACCTGTTTAAGGTATATTCTGCATAGCACTCTTCATAGAGGGCTGCTATGCGGTTTGATTTCTCACCTAGGGGCTATATTGGGTCAAAGGTGCTGTCCCGAGGATTTGTTCATCTGCATATGGACCAAGATTGTTTAAGGCCTGCCCCACAGTTTGATTATCCAAGGGGGGGAGAGAATCTACTCTACGCTGGATTGTCAGAATCCCAACGCGGATGTAGATCTGTAGCGTTTGGAGTACAGGAGTTCATTTGAGCTGGTACAGGCACCATCTTGGCTTTACATAGCAAGGGTCCTGCTGGATCAGAACAGTGGTCCATCTAGACCAGCATCTCACACAGTGGCCAACCGGTTGCCTCAGTTGTCCAAAAAAAACCCCCCAGGGCATAGAGGCTGAGGCCTTCCCCTGATGCTGCTTCAGAGAGCCAGCGTGGTATATTAGTTAAGAGTAGTGGACTCTAATCTGGGGAACTGGGTTTGATTCCCCACTCCTCCATATGAAGCCGGCTGGGTGACTTTGGGCCAGTCAAAGTTCTCTCAGAACTCTCTCAGCCCCTCCTTCCTCACAAGGTGCCTGTTGTGGGGAGAGGAAGGAAAGGCGATTGTAAGCTGCTTTGAGACTCCTCAAGATAGAGAAAAGCGGGGTTTAAAAAACAACTCATCTGCTGCTGCTGCTGCTTCCTGTCACTGGTATTCAGAGGTTTGCTGTCTCTTGACTGTGGAGGCTCCCTCTACACACAGTGGCTAGCAGCCATGAGTCTAAGTCCTTTTTAAAGCTTCTACATCCACTGATAGTGAATTCTACAATTTAATTTTTTTCTAAATGAAAAAATCCAAGGCTTATTAGCCTTTCCTCATAGGAAAGTTGCTCCAAACCCCTTAATCATCACTCCATTCCAGAAATACCGTTTCACTTATTTCAGCTGTGGAAGTGTCAGTAACACTTTTGCCAAACTGAATTTGTTATGGATATACAGGAATAGCCATAGTGTGAATTCAGTGAATGGATATTTTTCTTTTCTTTCTTTGCTAGGGTGGCATCAGTTGGAGCCTGAAAACCCTCTCTTTGCTCCAAGTCCGCTGCTGGATAAACTAGTAGAAGAGAAGAAATTGGGGAAGAAAACTGGAGAAGGATTTTACAACTACCAATGAACTTTGCAGTCTGCAGTGCGTGCCAAGCTGATCCAGGGAAGCCACGTTCCATTTCCTGTGTACTCGGAATGCCACTTAATCATGACCTTAAAAAGAGAGACAACAGTATCTATGCTGTACATTTTGATTGTAGTGTCTGAGGCGATTGCTTTTTTTCCTGGAAAACAGTTTTATTTCCTGAAGATTTGAGCTTCATACACCACCGTGCCTTTCTTTATAAGCTGCCTTATTCAGGTTCATGTTATTATTCCAAATGGATTTCACAGATCTGTAACAAACTGTTGAACCAGAAAAAAAATGTCCAAGTCTCAAGGCAAATAAAATAGGCCATCTTGATACAGAATTAATGTGATTGCTTTTCGGTTACATTGGGTCTTGTCCACTGGGTGGCAGTGTGACATTGTTGAAACCTTGAGTAGGTAGTTATGCATTTCCGCTATTAACACCTCTTTAATACTCATGTAGACATAGCAGCAGAGGGCTGTGTATTCCTTTTTGCATCCTTGTGTATGTGTGTGCGTGTGCATTTGCATCTCTGTATTCTCACTTGGATTTAACAGAGCATTTCTGCAGGTGAAAGGGTTTCTGACTGCAGTGCATTCTTTCTTACCTCTTCCTTCCTTTAGCAGAGGGCTGTGTATTCCTTTTTGCATCCTTGTGTATGTGTGTGCGTGTGCATTTGCATCTCTGTATTCTCACTTGGATTTAACAGAGCATTTCTGCAGGTGAAAGGGTTTCTGACTGCAGTGCATTCTTTCTTACCTCTTCCTTCCTTTTTTTGTTGTTGTTCAGTCGCACAGTCGAGTCCGACTCTTTGCAACCCCATGGACCACATCATGCCAGACCCTCCTGTCTTCCGTCGTGCTCCCGAGTTTGCTTAATTTTATGTTCGTTGCATTGATAACACTGTCTTCTAACCATCTCATCCTTTGCCGTCACCTTCTTCTTTGACCTTCAGTCTTTCCCAGCATCAGGGTCTTCTCCAGTGAGTGTTCCCTTCTCATTTGGTGGCCAAAATATTTGAGCTTCAGCTTCAGTAT